AAAAAGTGCAGATGAGGTGACTCGACGATATTACTCTACGATATTCTCCGGCATTTCACAGATAATACCTACCCTCGACTTCCGTGGTGTTGGCTTTTTGCTCGACATTCTCAAAAGGCTGTGTCTCAACAACGACCGAGGATTCTTCGAAGTCTGTTACACACTCTTCTACCTTCTGAACGTGAAGGACATCTAAAATGCATGTGCGACATAAATGCAGACATTCGGAAAAATTGGAATGTGCAAGTGAGGTTAGCCGACGATATTACCATATACATTATTATGTGTATAATGCTATCGTGAACTGGTACTCCGAATAATTGCACCTCGCACCGTCACTGATTGCTAACCACATGATGCACAAGATTTATTGTGTAGATGCACATCACAATGTAGGAAACGTTTTGCGGCATTTAAACGATTATACCTACCCTCGATTACTGTGAACTTGGTTTTATGTACGAGGCCGTCCAAAGCCGCTGTCTGGAGGGTGACGGAGCACTCCTCCACAGACTCCTCTGCGCAGTGCAGTCGAAGGTCATCTAAAATTCATGTGCGACATAAATGCACGGAGGCTGAACCTCAGGGGAGTAATTTACGGTCGCGCTGGGCAACATATGAAGTTCTAATGGCCGTCAAATCGACCAGAAAAGATTATGAACAAGGGAGAGTACCGATTATGACTGAACACTCGTACTCACAAGCCGCACACTCCAGCACCATGTGGACTTAGACGTTATCTAAAATGCATGCACTAAGTGAGTCCTAGTTGGAAGGTGATGTCTCGCGGTGCAGTCGGTTCATTCGCCATCGAATCAACTAAAATTTTTGCTTAACAGACGGGAAGCAGTGGTAGTGATGATGATGATGATGATTCGCAGTCGATGCGTACTGCTGTAGTGACCTCGTATTCTAAGTCATGCTTTGCTTGCACTCGTTTGGGTCGTGTACCGCATGTCTGGCTCTCCTGTCCACATCCGATTAACGCCACGGACGCGTCTGGCCTAAATCGAAATCTCCGTAGTCAAACAGAACCCGCTGATACATAATAAAACAAATCTCCATTTTTACACAAAAGTTAAAATACTCATCGAATAGGATTTCAGTAACAATGAACTAAACTAACGGCAAAGCAGAGAAGCGTTTCTGATCGCTGCCGATAGATATCTAAAATTGTCAGGAGACTAAAATAAGGTCTATCGACAATTATAAATCCCCGAGTGGTTCTTCGTAGAATAACAGACAGTGACAACCTTGACAATATGACCAAATTTATAGGCCAAGGTGATCTGACGGAAAATGTGGCTTAAAGGAAACCGATGTCTATTGTCTACTGACACTGGCTAAGTAGCTTCTGCCTGTTGCCTGCTTATGGGTTAGGTGATTACCGATTTATGTTGGGAACTAGAGTTTCACTTGGTTTTAGAATTCTTTTTAGAGTTGTTTCTTGGACTCCTTTCTGAATTATATAACACTTAAGCTGACGCAGGCTGTGCAGGTAACCACGAAAATACTCCCACAGGGTTCTGGGAGATGGCTACTGTCATCTCTGGGGTCACTCATCTTCTCCCTAATATAGGTGGTTTCTAGTAGATCCCAGATAAACGTCTCAACAGTTGTCAAAAGGAATACTGCCATCTGCTACACGATCTTTTTCATCGGGCTTAACACGAGAGCCTGAAAACACTTTTTCGCATTAACAGCCCTAAATATATCATCAAAAACAACAGTGGTTGCATTCACTTGGCCCGCTTTACGCGCCAGACAAACTACTTCCGATCAATTGGTACTATAATTTGGTTTTTTAACTTTCGCCTACTGTGGCATGGAATCTTGTGCATCTTCTAAAACCGTAACGGTAACTGATGTTGACCGGTGACACACGGTAGATGGGTTCAGATCAGCTGCGAACGTATTCGAAGAAGTTTAAAGGTTAAAACGGCAAACAGAACCTTTATTTAACATCGTAAATTTACATCTATATGCATACATAGATAAAAATATATATGCTCAATAGTAGGGCAAGAAACAGGGAAAGTTGTAGGATTACTTATTACTAATAACAGCAAAACAACCTTCGGAAAAACCGCCGAATCCTCCTACGATGCACTCGGGACCGTCCTATGGGAGAAAATATTTAAAGCACAACAGTTAGAAAATTTAATAAATTTGGTTTTCGGAAGTCAGATGAATTATTCTAATACTTGTTGACTGACATGCTCGCTTCATGCTTTGCACATCATCATCCGGAGGAGGAGTAGGAGGCCTCCTGGACGCCGAAGGCACTGGTATATGTGTTGACTCAAGCTCTTTCTGAGCAGATAGGTCTGCAAAAACAGAGTACGTTGGTCAGTTTGTTATCGCCTGCTGCCTGCACCACAAGGTGGTCAAATAGATTTGCTGGATGCACACAAAGTGTCTGGCGATCTAGTCCTACCTGCCCAGAGAAGAGTTAATCTTCTACCGTGTGCTGTCCATCGGAAGTAGAAAAAGCCAACGACTTTTTGTGATGGAATAAAAAACTTAGGTGGGTGTGTAGGCATCATTTCAAAACAGATACCTCCTGGCTCTACGCATGTGAACACCCACTTAGAGAGCAGAGCCACTACAAACTGCAGGTT